GAGGGCGGGCGGGGCGGCGCCGCTTTTATACGGAGCCGCGGCGAGGCGCGGGGGAGGAAGAGGAGGAGGGAAGGACCACCCGGCACGTCCCCGCGCGGCGGCTGCCTCCTCTCTTCCAGCCGTTGGCCCCGGGCTGATGTCATCTGCAGCAAATCATCTCACTCGCGGCCCGGAAGCTGGAGGGACGAGGTGTGCGGACAATGGTCAGGGCAGGGCCGGCTGTCAGAGGCTTGGGGAGCCCTAAGGGCCCCGGCTGCCGTGGTGAAAACACCCCAGCCTGCATCCCCCACGCGCCCACGGACTGCGCCGAGCCCCGCGCGCCCGTGGTGCCGGAGAACGGGATGGGTTTCCATTTGCAGAATGGGAACATTGGCCTCGTCCGAGGGGCACAAGTCGGGCCTCTGCCTGGTGCCCGGGGATGACACCAGGTTCTCAGGAGCCGCCTACGGTATCGTGGACGGCGTGGTGGTCAGGGCGCCCCGCCCGGGGAGGCACGACCTGTCTTTTCTCTGGCCTTGTGAAGTTAGGAAGGCGCACGGTCCTTATCGGAATTCAGCTTCCCTTAAAGAACAGACCAGAAAATGCAAGAACTAAACGTACTGTTCAGGCTTTGGACCCTACGCTAGCTTGGTGCACTCATAGGGAATGAGAGGAACACGTCCACCGGCCTACATACAGATTCCTTTGCCTGAATAATGTCCTGAGCAGATAGCATGAGGCGTAACAAAGAGTAAAGGGAAGACACTGTCTCTATCCGGCAGGATTACAGTAACTATAATGTATTTTTCAGGTCCTTAGGGACCACGCAAGCAAAATTATTTCATGTGACAACGATGTCTTTTAAAATATATGAAGCATTGGGAGTTTTTATTGCCTTTGTCTATGCTTAGAAGAACTCATAAAAATGTTTAAAGGGAGCCCATCTACAACCGTTTCTCACAAACATACTGAATATAGCTTCGGTCCAGGGAGGGGACGGTGGTGGTAAGGAAGGAACGCAATGTGCAAACATGAACCATCATAAATAACACGCTGGGGGGTTAGAGGCTTAGGAAAGAAGGGTGGGTGGAAATTAGAGCAGTCAATATCGTTTTAATACTAGAATGCATATTAGTAAAAAAAAAAAAAATCACCTGGATATGCTAAGATTCCAAAATTGTTTGTTGTCTTAAGTATTAACAATCATGACTTATTGGTGATAAACTTTTTGCTCTTAGCCCTTTGCTGAAACCCTGGCATAGGAGATACGGGCAGCCAAAGGCTGTGTCCCCAGGCTGCGCACAGGCCAGCCTGATCAGCGGGGAATAAAGATAACCGCCTGGCCCGCCGCACTTGGGGCCTGTGACAGGCTCACTGGTTAGGTGCATTCACCGGTGAAGAGTGACAGAGTTTCCGAGTGAGATGATAACAGATTCTGTCTTGGTCCAGAGAAGGCATTCGGTTGCTGTTAGAGAGGCGAAGCCAGCGCCAGAGCCGGTAACTGGGGGAGGAGTCATGGTGGAGAACACTGTTTTCCAAAAGTCAGCCATTGGAGCCCAATGTCACCTAGTGATTATCTCCCATTTCTCTGAACCACCATCACTTTTATTCATGTAATAGTGTCCTTTCGCTCTATTTCTTTTACTTAATTTTATTTTTAAATGAAATTCTTTGTTGCTGTATAAATAGAAACACTAATATCACTTATAAATATAAAGTATCCCTAAGAATAAGCATAATGAAAATAATGTGATTAAATTCCTGCTATATACTGCTGTTATTTGCTCAAGACTCTGAGGTGTATTCTCTAGATTAGAAACAGATTAACAACTGAGAGGTGTTCATGGCATACTAGCACCTAACTGAGTTGTTCTCCAAAGGTGATTAATAATTTTTGTATTATTAAATATATAACTTGCCCCAGCCAGTGTGGATCAGTGGTTAGAGCATCAGCCCAAGCACCAAAGGGTATCAGGTTCAATTCCCCATCAAGGTTATGTACCGGGGTTGTAGGTTCCATCTCCAGCCCTGGTCAGGGAGGCAACCAATCGATGTGTCTCTCTCACATTGATGTTCCTCCCACTCTCTCTCTCTCTCTCTCTCTCTCTCTCTCC